CCAGACCCAGTACCGCCAGACTCCACACAAGTAGGCCCAGCACCCGCAGGCTCCGCACCCCCAGTCGCACCACCCCTAGGCTCAGCACCCCCAGACTCAGCACCCCCAGGCTTAGCACCCCCAGACCCAGCACCCCCAGGCTCAGCACCCCCAGACTCCGCAGCCGCAGGCTCAGCACCCCCAGCAGCACCAGAGTCAACAGCTACCTCGACAGGCTCAACTGCGTCTACCTGGGACACACCTGAGGGGACAAGACCCTGAGGGAGAAGGGGGTCTACCGGGGGAGGACCTGGCGCGAGGAAGAGTGGCGGGGGGGAAGGGGGGTAGTGCGGTAGGGGAAGAGACGGTAGTAGGGAACCGACTCGTCAAACGTGACGTCCTGGGAGGACAGAACACAGCGCGAGGTGGGGTGGTAAAACTGCCAACTAGACGCGTCAGGGGGGAAGCCAAGGAAGACGCAGGGAACAGCGCGGGGGGACAGCTTGTCCGCAGACAAGTCGCGGACAAAAGCCCGAGATCCCCAGACACGGAACACAGACGCATCGCCAACCTTCCCCGTCCACCGCAGAGTAGGGGAGGTCTTCGGCAAGGAGACCCGGGGCTGAAGGTTGATCTGATGCGCCGCGTACTGAACCGCGAACGGCCACAGAAAATGGGGAGCAGCCGCATGGATCATGGACGTACGAGCGACGTCCATAACCATGCCAATGTGACGCTCAGCAATCCCATTTTGCTGTGGAGAGGCCGGAAGCGTGAACGTCTGGCGGATGCCCTGTGCACGACAGAAGGCCCGCAGAAGGTCAGAGGAAAACTCTCCGCCTCTGTCGGAGTGCAGACGCAGAACAGGAAAGTTTGAGCCGAAACTCTCTCTGAGCTGGAGACGAGCTGCGCGGATCCAGTCGATCAACACCTCAGTGACCTCACCCTTGCTGCGCAAGGGGAAGACTGTGGTGTAACGCGAGTAGTCGTCAACCACCAGCAGGAAGTAACGCTCGTGACCCTGTCCACGGACGCGGGCGGGGCCCCACACGTCCAGGTGAAGCGTCTGCAGTGGAGCCTCTGTCGGAGGAAACTTGGAGGAGTGAGGAGCGGAGCGCTGCCGCCCCTCGACGTTGGGAACGCAGGTAGGGGCAGGCCCCGGAGGAAGAGGAGGGCCGCGCCTCGGCTGCAGGGTAGGGCCGGGATGGCGACGGCGGCTGTCACAGCAGTGGCAGCGGCGGTTGTCTCAGCAGGAGCGGTGGCGGCTGTCACGACAGCAGCGGCGGCGGCGACCGGTCGTGGAGGGGCCGTGGAGGAAGCAGCAGCGGGAGCAGGCGTGATGGCAGCTGCTGGGGCGGCGACGACGGGGCGGCAGGGCCGTGAAGAGCCGGGGAGGGGCCGCTAAAGGGCCGCGACGAGCCGCGAAGGGGCCGCGGAGGGGCCGCAAGGGGCCGCAAAGGGGCCGCGAAGGGCCGTGAGAGGGGCCACGAAGGGCTGCGAAGGGGCCGCGAAGGGGCCGCGAAGGGCCGTGAGAGGGGCCGCGAAGGGGCCTTAAGAGGGCGCGATGGGCGACTAAGGGCAGGGGACGTGAAGGGAGGGCAGGCGCACGGGGCGCGACTAGGGCAGACGCGAAGCGCGCTCCGGGCAGGTAAAAAAAAAAAAAAATCGTTTCAGTGGTGGGCCCTAGGAAACGTTCTCACTAGGGAACCTGCTCTATACCATGTGAAATAACGAGGAATGATTTGACTAGGAAATGAGTTGGGTACAAATATGTAACCCTAGGAAATTGTACCTCATACTGTCTACCCCACTACAGCCTAGAAAGACTATAGCATGAATGTTTGACAACACGTCAACGCCGTCACCATGAAACGAGCTATCGCCGTTGGAGCTGACATGTACGCAGTAGATATTGCAGTGGTAGAGGAAGCAGAACAGCCGAGTGATTTCAAGAAACTGCTGGCAACGGTACCGCCCGAACTACGGGATCTGTTGAAACGGTACCCGAGGATTCTTCCCGATGACTTACCGAAGGGACTGCCACCTCAGCGAGCACACAACCACCGTATAGAACTAGAATCGGGGGCACAGCCAACCGTACAACGCCAGTTCAGACTGACACAACCCGAGCTCGACGAATTGAGGAAGTAGTTAGATTACCTGTTAGAGAAGAAATTCATCCGACCGAGTTCATCACCGTTCGCCGCACCGATACTGTTCACACCGAAAAAAGACGGAGGGATTCGCATATACATCGATTACAGAGCATTGAATAGGGTAATAGTCAAGTCGCGATACCCCATTCCCCACGCTGACAAACGGATAGACCAAATGCGAATAGCACGGGTTTGTCAGAGGTCCACTGGTGATCCCCGATTGATCATAGGGAAGGGTTACAGGCTACTTGTCCTGGAGGGTTATGGGCGCACTGACCCGCTACTTAACAAGCCCTTTTATCCCAATGGTCTAGTGGTTGGGATTCTGACATGGTATCAGAGCAAAGGTCTCGGGTTCGAATCCCAGTGTGTGCACTTCGGGCATCCCAGTGCGGGGGGGTGTCAGAGGTCCACTGGGGAAGGGTTACAGGCTACTTGTCCTGGGGGGTTATGGGTGCACTGACTTGCTACTTAACAAGCGCTTTTATCCCAATGGTCTAGTGGTTGGGATTCTGACATGGTTTTTTCGAAAATAGATTTACACGGAGGTTACCATCAAATTACAGTCGAACCATCGGACTGCGCCAAAACAGCTTTTCGGACTAGGTACGGGTCATTCGAGTACACCGTGATGCCCTTCGGGCTGACCAACACACCGGCGACATTTCAGATGATCATGAACGAGGTGTTTATGCCACTTTTAGATAAATGCATGATATTTTACCTTGACGACATCCTCGTCTACAGTCGCGACAAGCAGCAGCACTTAGCAGATCTGGAAGCAGTTTTTTTTTTTTTTAGACGAGCATCGGCCACTTACAAAGGGTTCCAAGTGCGAGTTTTTTCAGGACAGTCTAGAGTTTTTGGGGCACGTTATTTCGGAGGCTGGGGTCGAAATCGACCCGAAGAAGTTGGACATGGTAAAAGCGTGGCACCCCCCGACGAACATCACGGAGCTGCAGGGTTTTTTGGGGTTCGTAAATTATGTGCGTCGGTTCGTCCCCGACATGGCACGCTTAACAGCACCACTTACGGACTTACTGCGCAAGGGGGTCGTTTTTACGTGGGGGGAGAAAGAGCATGCTGCCTTCTCTGCCCTGAAAACTGTTCTCTGTTCACCGCCTGTACTGCGCATTGCTGACCCACACCGCCCATTCGAAGTAGTTACAGACGCCAGCGACATCACCATCAGAGCCGTACTGCTACAAGACTTCGGCGACGGCCTACAGCCCATCGCATACGAGTCACGAAAACTGCACCCGCCTGAGAAAAATTGCTCGATACACGACCGCGAAGTGCTCGCGATCGTGCACGCAGACGTGACAGACCATAAATTGATACAGTACGGACACTGTATGTATGGCGCTGTTTCTTGACCGGCACAGACGGGACAGTACGGACAGACCATAAATCGATACAGTACCTCCGCGCACAGCCACACCTCAACCTACGACAGATCCGCTGGCTCGATTTCCTCGAGTCCAATTTCCATTACACAGTCACCTACAAAAAAGGGGCATCGAACCTCGCCGACGCACTAACCCGCCCCACTGCCCAGATCCATGCAATACCACTCACCCAGACCAGCCCACTACTGACAGGCAAAGACCAAGTCGTCGACGTACACGAGACCTATTTTACCCACGGGTACCAAACGGATCCACTCTTCACAGAAGGAAACTCACAGTAGTTTGCAGCAGCAAAAGGAGTTTATTACGTAAAAGCCGGGACCAACCGCATCTGGGTACCAAGGTACACACTGCCACGGGAATTACTTGTTAACAGGAATGGAGTGTTGGCCCCGCCCTCGCTTGGGCAACGCCGACGACTTGGTCGGATGTACGGGAGTAGCAGCCGACCGTTCACAGTGGGAGAGCTGCTCGGCAGGCTTCGTCGAGCTGCAGGCAACCGCTGTGGTGTTGCTGTCGACCATTGAGCTCGACAGCTGCAACTGACTGGTCTGGGCGATGGGTGGGACGTCGACCAAGACCTACAGCTCGACCGGGAGGTCTTCAGAGCATCCCGTCGACCTGTAGTTCGACCGGGAGGTCGACGGAGCAGTCCGTCGACCTGACAAGTGAGCAGCGGTCGGCGAGGGGAGCTCGGCGACAATTGCTGATGGTTCTGGTCGACGGAAGGGGTCCGTCGACCAGGGGGTAGCTCGACGGGAGTTCTGGTCAACCGGAAGCACCTGGTGGTCGACCGGGTCGACCGGGTAACCTGCTTGACGAGTTCTGCGGAGGCACGCGAACGTCGTCGAGGATGCGATGGCGCAGGCGACTGCGGGCTGGTATCCCAGAGTCGATGTGGCTCGTCAGGCACAGACAACAGCCGACGGATGCCCAACGAGGCAAGTCGGGCCAATCGTCTGCGCGCATCTGTGAGCGTGCGCACTGCTGTGTTCTACGGGGCAACGCTGTACAGCCGCTCCGCTGCAGCGTTGGCACGCCGTCGACCTGCTCTGTTGGCAGGTCGCCCTTCTGCAGTGTTGGCGCGGCTCCTCTACGTAACGCTGGCAGGCGATCGACCGAGTTGCGCTGGCGGTCGACCAGGCTAGCAGCAAGGTTGCTAGGTGCCTGATGTAGTCATTGTTGTCATTGCTTGTTGAATCATTCTGTAATCTTGACTTTGCCTAGTGGAAACTCTTGCCGATTACTCCCGTGAATGCGCAAGCACTAAGGAACTAAGCAAAGCTACGATCACCTCTAGTAGTTCGTGCCAACCCTGTAGCCTAGCTCACTACCGTTGTAGAGTGACTCTCCGCATGGTGCGGTGAGCGTGGACGGCCCCGCGGATTACCTTCAGATAGGAGCCGAATTTTGCACCTACTAAGTCGTTCGTAGGCCGGCAGCAGCGTTAGTCGCCATGGTCGACCCCGTAATTGATGCGGGTGTAGCGGACACCTTGGAGGCACGTTTGGCTGATGTGAGGAGACGCCACGCGAATGGCGAGTACGGGACGATCCCCTTGGTGATCGCCAAGTTGGGCATCCGGTCGCAGTGGGCGACGGAACACCCTTCCCGTCCTGCTTCTCTTCGACCGGTGCGCAACGCACGTGGCGTCAACGACGAGGTCGACGGTGGTGCACGAGTCAGCGGCAACGAAGGCACGAGGCAGAGAGGGGTGATCAAGGTCGACGGTGGTATCGACGGAATCCAGGCGCGAGTGCAACGGTCGACGGCGGCTGCAGGCAGCTCGCGTGCCGACGTCGATTTTCGACGTCGCTCTCCTCTACAAAGCGGTGGGGGGCTCTCGGCGACGACGCATGTGACGGTAGGCGGGATTGCACCGGCGTATGGCTAATTCAAGTTCTCGCCGGACTGGATCACCGTCGCACCGCTGCAAGGTTGACGGGACCTCATCACCTGGAGGGAGTCAATCGAACCTCAGCTGGAGGTCGCCGGGCTGAAGGGCTTCGCCGACGGCACAGTGCCAATTCTGCCCGTGGACGATGTCGAGCTGCGCGGGGAGTTTCGAGCGGCTCACTTGTTCACCTTCATGGTCATCTCGAGGTGCTGCTCGCCGGTGGTGCAGCTGGCGCTCACGAGCTGTCGAGAGCGACTCGATGCTGGTCACCAGGCATGGCACTTCATCATGTCGACGTACCAGGTCAGGGACGACCTGTACATCGGGCAGCTGGAGGAGAAGATGACTCACATTCGGATGGGCGAGCAGGAGTCGGCGACGGATTATTGCAACCGTGCTAGACGGATCCTGGCTGAGATGCGGATGGCGGGCGCTGAGTACTCGACGGCGTCCTACATCACCCACATCGTCAAGGGTTTGTTGCGCAGCTACAATCTCATGAAGAGGATGATGATGGTACCCGGCACGCGCGAGTCCCTCGACGAGGACTCCATCACCAACTACATTCTTCAAGATGAGGCGATGCAGGAGGCCGAACAGCCCACAGAGCTCCTTCCGCAGGCAAACTACGCTGCATCGACGAAGCTGAATCAACAGCAAGGGCAGCGCGGGAAGCCGGGCGGAAGTGGTAGCGGAGGTGGGCGGTCGACGAAGGACGTCGACGAGAAGCGGTCGACGCGGGACAAGGGTCGACGAGGTGGTGGTGGTCGACGGCGAGAGTGCTGGATCTGCGGCGACCCCGACCATCTCTCCTTCGAGTGCCCCGACCGCGATGACAGCGATGAGGACGACAACAAGGGAGGCCGTGGGCGATCGGCCAGTCGTCGCCCACGTCGAGATGAGAAGCCGCGCAAGGAGAAGCAAGCGTCGAAGAAGACGCCGTCGACGAAGGACGTCGACAGCTCCAGGGGCAAGAGCCGAGGCGACGGGGAGGCATCGTGCTCGATGGTCGGCGTGGTGGAGCCGACGGTCTCGCTAGCACCGGAGGCTGGCGAGGACTTCCAGGCGGTGGCGGCAGCTGTGCAGGCCAACCCGATGGTGGTGCTGCTTGATAGCGGATGCTCCCACCACCTGATGGGGACGAAGGCAGTCTTCATCGACATGGGGCCAAGCGATGGTGTGAAGCATGTGCGTGGATTCAACGGGGCACTGCAGCCTGTCAAGGGTCGCGGAACCGTCGCTCTATAGGGGGAGGCCGGGAAGTGGGTCCTCATCCCCGATGTGCTCTACGTTCCGGGCGTTCAGGTGAACCTGCTGTCAGTCGGCCAACTGAAGGAGAGCGGAGTGCAGCTGCAGGGCGACGGCGACGAAATGCTGCTCGTCACTGCGACCGGGGAGGTGCTCGGTCGAGCACGCTACACCGGATGTGTTCTCTGCATCGACCTTTGCTTTTGCTCGACGCATTCGCCGTCGACCGAGGTGGTGGCTCTGTGGACGATCGTCTGGGCGATAAAGACGACCACTGCCCTGTTGCATGCGAGGCTCGCGCACATCGGCGTCGATACGATCAAGAGCTCGGCGAAGCATGAAGTTGCTGTTGGGCTCGACATCACGCCGTCGAACGGAGCAGATCCGTCGTGTGTCTCGTGCGTCGGAGGGAAGCTGGCGCGGCACACCTTCCCCGACAAGGGCTCGGACGCCGAGGAAGCATTGGCTGTCATGCACATTGACTTGTGCGGGCCAGTTCATGTGGCTGCCAAGGATGGCAGCTTGTACTTCCTACTGCTGAAGGATCGCCATACTCGGTTCGTGAGGGCAATGCCTGTCGCTAAGAAGAGCGACGTGCTGTGGGAGTTCTAGAAGTGGCTGGTGCTTGTGGAACGACAGACGAAGAAGTCGGTGCTGTCGCTTCGCTCCGATCAAGGAGGGGAGTTCCTCGGCAAGGCGTTCACCGACTTCGTCGACGGGAAGGGCATCGTCCATGACCTGACGTGCCCCTACACTCCGCAGCAGAATGGGATGGCTGAGCGGGAGATGCGCACGACCGTCGAGTACGTGCGGACGATGCTGCTACACATGGGCGTGCAGCATCACTGGTGGCACCTTGCTCTTCGACAGGCGGTCTGGGTGCGCAACTACTTGGAGCGGTCGACGACGCCGCCGGGGACGACTCCGTACCAGTTGCAAACCGGGACGAAGCCCGACCTCACGCTGGCGCGGGTGTGGGGCTGCATGGTGCAGTTTATGGTTCCTGAGCAGCAGCGCGGTGGGAAGCTGGCGCCAAAGGCTCGCTGGGGGCTTCACCTGGGTGTGTTGCCGGAGAGCAAGGGCTGGGAGGTGCTCGACCTGACCGACAACAAGGTGGTCACGTCGGTCGAGGTGATCTTCTACGAGACGCTGTCGCTTGAGGTGTGGAAGGCAAAGTATGGGCCGGCGTCGGAGCGGAGGCAGGCGCACCCGCCGACGGACACCTCGACGGCGACGATTCCGTTGCTTGCCGAAGTCGACAAGCCTGCTGTTGAGGATGTTATGGAGGTTCTTCCCCCTCCCCCTGTCCTTGCTCCTCCGTTCCCCGTCGCAGATTGGCCTGGTTCGGCACCTGTGTCGACCACCGACGATGAGGGGAGCCTTGAGGCGTCGCGTGTGGCGCCGGCCCATGGCATCGCCGGCGGTCGACAAGGCGCCAAGCTCGTTGACCAGGATGGGAAGCCGTCGGCGACACGGGAGCAGCAGACAGGGGAGCCGGTCGAACAAGAGGCAACAGCAGCGGTGCAGCCGACAGGGGAGCAGCAGCCGGGGCAGTCGACAGGGGAGCTGTCGAAGTCACCAGCAGACGAGCAGCCGATCGACGGGTCGAAGCAGCTGGTCGACGACGAGGACGTTGACAAGGAAGGGGAGCAGTCGGCGGGTGAGGAGTCCACCGAAAGCGACGTGGTGGAAGTGCCGATCACGAAGTCTGAGCTGCAACGCACAGGTTGAGCTCGACGGCCACCGGAGCGGCTGAGCTTCCACGCCTGCCTACCGCGAGCAACCTTCACCACGGTGTTCAACGAGGTCGACGACGACCTGTTGTACGACGACGCCGAGGAGGATGAAGACCTGCCGGAGCTCGACCCCGACATGCATGCCGACCCCGAACACCGCTGGGACATCGCCACGATGACGGTGAAGGAGGCGCTGTGGAGCTGGAAGGGCAAGGCGGTGAAGGCCGCCATGGAAGAAGAGATTCGTAGCCTCATCGGCATGGGCACTTGGGAGCTGGTCGAACGCCCACGTGAGGTGAACATCATGAAGAACCGGTGGGTGCTGACGACCAAGTACCGCATTGAGGACACCGTCGAGCGCGAGAAGGCGAGGCTGGTCGCGAAGGGCTTCACGCAGGTGTACGGTGCCGACTACGACGAGACGTACTCGCCGGTGAGCAGATACGTCACGCTGAGGATCTTCTTCAGCATCTTCGCCGTCCTCGACCTCCATTTGATGCAGCTCGACATGAAGAACGCTTTCTTGCAGAGCAAGCTCGACAGGGTGCTCTACATGTACCAGCCGGACTACTTTGACGACGGGACCGGCCGGGTGTGCAAGCTGTTGAAGAGCCTCTACGGGCTGAAGCAGTCGCCGCTGCTGTGGTACAGGGCTCTCGACAGTGTGTTGCTGAGCGCTGGCTGGAAGAAGAGGCAGGTCGACGAGGCGCTCTACTTCAAGGCCGGCGACGACGGAGTGACCTACTGGGTGCTGGTCTACGTCGACGACCTGCTTGCCGCCAGCTGCAGCACCGCGATGCTGAAGGAGCTGCTGGAGGCTGCCTTCGAGCTGCGTGAGATCTCGCCGGTGGTGAAGTACCTTGGGCTGGAGATCGTGCGCGACAGGCCGGCTAGGAAGCTGTGGCTGCACCAGCAGGGCTACGCCGACAAGTTGCGCAAGCGCTTCATCGACGAGGAGCAGGGCGGTCAAGTTCCGAAGACGCCGGTCTCGGTCGACGCCTACGCTCAGCTGACATTCGACGACGAGGAGGCTCAGGAGCGGGAGGAGGAGGAGTACCGGCAGAAGGTCGGCTCGTTGCAATTCGCGGCGACGACGACGAGGCCGGACATTGCGTTCGCATGCAGCAAGCTGGGGAACGGTCTCCCGGTGAGGAGCGACCAGCATTGGCGCGAGGTCGACCGCTGCCTCGCCTACCTCGCCGACACCCGCGACACCGCCCTAGAGTTCGGCGGTGGATCAGACTTGTTGGAGCTGATCGGCTACGTCGATGCCGACGACGCGGGCGACAAGCAAAACCAAACGAGCACGGAAGGCTACGTGTTCATGGATGGAGGGGCCGCCGTCTCCTGGCCGAGCTCGCGCATCAAGTGCGCGACATTGTCATCGACCGAGTCGGAGTATGTGGCGACCACGGATGCCGGCAATGAGGGTCGTCGAATTCGCTTCCTCCTTGCAGAATTCAAGCTGCTCGACGCTGGGAAGCCGACCATCCTCCGCGTCGACAACAAGTCGGCAATCACGATCGCTGAGGGCTTGGGGTTGACGGGCAACCTCAAGCACATGGAGCGACGCTACGCCTGGCTACAGCACATGGTGAGGCGCGGGAAATTTGTGCTGAAGTACATCCCATCCACTGAGCAGCCGGCGGAATTTCTGACAAAGGCGCTGCATTTTCCAACTTTGAACTGGTGCTCGGTCGCCATCGGCCAAGTTCGTCTGGCCGACGTTGGCGACGGCAACGACGAGGTGCAACAGTAGGTGCCGTGCCCTTCTGCACGTCTGGTGCGGAGACGGCGTGCTGTGTGTGGGGTGCACGCCGAGGACGAGTTTTCTCCATGGAGTACTGTCGTGTGGGCTGGAGGCCTAAGCGTGAGCGCGGCAGGGGAGTGTTAACAGGAATGGAGTGTTGGCCCCGCCCTCGCTTGGGCAACGCCGACGACTTGGTCGGATGTACGGGAATAGCAGCCGACCGTTCACAGTGGGAGAGCTGCTCGATAGGCTTCGTCAAGCTGCGGGGGACTGCTGTGGTGTTGCTATCGACCAGGGAGCTCGACACCTGCAACTGACAGGTCTGGGCGACGGGTGGAACGTCTACCAGGACCTACAGCTCGACCGGGAGGTCGACGGAGCAGTCCGTCGACCTGACAAGTGAGCAGCGGTCGATGAGGGGAGCTCGGCGACAATTGCTGATGGTTCTGGTCGACGGAAGGGGTCCGTCGACCACGGGGTAGCTCGACGGGAGTTGTGGTCGACCGGAAGCACCTGGTGGTCGACCGGGTCGACCGAGTAACCTGCTCGACGAGTTTTGCGGAGGCACGCGAACGTCGTCGAGGATGCGATGGCGCAGGCGACTGCGGGCTGGTATCCCGGAGTCAATGTGGCTTGTCAGGCGCAGACAACAGCCGACGGATGCCCAACGAGGCAAGTCGGGCCAATCGTCTGCGCGCATCTGTGAGCGTGCGCACTGCTGTGTTCTACGGGGCAACGCTGTATAGCCGCTCTGTTGCAGCGTTGGCACGCCGACGACCTGCTGTGTTGGCAGGTCGCCCTTTTGCAGTGTTGGCGCGGCTCCTCTACGCAACGCTGGCAGGCGATCGACCGAGTTGCGCTGGCGGTCGACCAGGCTAGCAGCAAGGTTGCTAGGTGCCTGATGTAGTCATTGTTGTCATTGCTTGTTGAATCATTCTGTAATCTTGACTTTGCCTAGTGGAAACTCTTGCCGATTACTCCCGTGAATGCGCAAGCACTAAGGAACTAAGCAAAGCTACGATCACCTCTAGTAGTTCGTGCCAACCCTGTAGTCTGGCTCACTACCGTTGTAGAGTGACCCTCCGCATTACTATTACAAGAAGCACACGACGGAGTTACCTCGGGGCATTTCGGGATAGAGAAAACATGGCAGCAGCTGTAGTTGTGAAACAATGAGAAGAGGAAATGAAATGACTAAGTCAGAAATTGGTACAAATAACCAACCCTAGGAATCTGTACCCCATATGTGCTACCCCACTATAGCCTACAAACATGTATCAGCTATAATGTTCTGACACACCCCCATAGGCAAAGTGGGGGAGAACAAGGGGTCACAAGACCAGTCAAGCAAAGCAAAGCAAGCTCAGGGTGGATCACAAAGTCACCACACAGTCCGAGCACAAGAGCAGGGCCAGAGGCCAGTTCACATGCAGGAGTACAGACATATATATAATACTAGACAAGCAAGAGCAGGTATATATATATGTCACAGTACAAGTGAAGTCAGGAAGAGAGCAAGTGAGGCAAGACAGGCACAAGACCCAGCTGGGTACAGAAGCGCTGATGGTCACAAGGCGCGAGTGCCTTGGTGAACACATCAGCAGTGTTGGCCTCAGAGGCCACGTACGCAAGTCGCAGCTGACCACGCTGCTGCAGCTCACGAGCAAGGAAGTAGCGAAGAGCAATGTGCTTACTGCTCTTCTACACCAAGGGAGACCGCAACCGGTCGGCCAAGTGGCGTGAGAGTAGTGCGGTCTCGAAAGAAGGAGCGCGAAGCCCCAGAGTCAAGTGTGAAAGTGAGGGAGGACGAGGGCGACGCAGTACCTGAGAGCGCAGTCTCACCAGCACCTGAGAGCGCAGTCTCACTAGTACCTGAGAGCGCAGACGCACTGGCACCTAGAGCAGCAGCCTCACAAGTACCTAGTGCAGCAGTACCAATGCCCGGGTCGGGCTGGAAACACCGGTAACCCTCATTCTCCTCACTATAAGTCACAGCATACATAGCAGAAAGGATAGCATCAAAATCAAGATCAAAGATCGCTACACCAGCCCTAAGGAGCTCATCCCAGCGAGGGATCTCACTAGCCCCGGGGAACTGCTGACGCCAAGCGTCCGTCAGGCGGCCAAAGCAGCGCTGGGTGGAGTGGGCACCCCCACACTGCTCACCCGCGCGGTCGCCGGAACGAAGAACGTAGGCGCAGGGGCCAGTACCCCCACCCCTCTGACGCGAAGCGTACCACTCACGAAGCTGCTGAGGCGGAGGGATGTCCCGCGAACGCTGCTGCTGCTGCCGCTGCGAGCGCTGGCCACCACCACCGCCGCTCCGCTGCTGGGTACCACCACGACCAGCTCCACCTCCTCCACCACCACCGCCTCCTCCGCCGCCGCCTCCACCGCCTCCACCTCCACCGCCTCCACCTCCACCGCCTCCACTCCCGCTGCTGCCTCCACCACCACCGGTGCCACCACCACCACCGTCTCCGCCGCTGCTGCCACCACCACCACCACCACTACCACTACTCCCGCCGCCACCCCCACTCCCTCCGCCGCCCCCGCCGCCACCGCCACCGCCCCCTCCAGCTCCGCCCGCGCCCTTGCCCCCCTTGCCCTTGCCAGAGCGACGTCTCCCACTAGGGGCAGACGCCGCGCCGACCGACTCAAGACCAAGCAGGCCGGCCGCAGCAGCAGAGGCAACAGAGGGCAGCAGGGGGGAAGGAGAGCACCCCTCAAAGATGGGGGTGCGAGGGTCACCACGAGAGGCACCGACAGCGACTATGCTCTTCTCCGCTGCGAGGAGGGCCTTCTCGAGGAGGTCGACGTTGAGAGTGGTGGGACAGACTGCGAGAAAGTGGTCCCTGACTACGCGGAGGGAGTCAGGGAGGCGCGCGACTACGTAGTAGAGAGTGATGTACATGGGGGGGGGGTTCTTAGCGCAGAACTCAGCAGGAAGGGCGGCGCGGTAGCGAGTGTCACTAGTGCGGAGGTGCGTAATGAGGTCAGCGACAGTGGGAAAGGCAGAGAGGTCAGGAAAGAGGTAGGGAAGCATGAGACGGCTCAGTGCAGCAGTGGCAGGAGAGGAGTAGCGCGCAACTACAGCGTCGTACAAGGTCTGAGCACTCTTGTACTGACTAAAATGCGCACGCTCAGAGGTAGGGAGGTGGCGACGCACAGCAAGACGTGCAGCAGCATCGCGGGTGGCCCACTGAGAGCGGACAGTGGGATCAGCATCGGCAGCAGGAGCAGGAGAGGCGCCAGAGGTGAGGTCAAAGAGAGAAAGGCTGTCAGCTCTGTCGCACTGTAAGAAAAGCTGAAGGTCATCTAGCCAGACCTCAAAATCAATGGCGCGACCCTCGGCGTCAAAGGCTAGGACACTAGGGGTGGCCATGATGACGACAGCGAAGCAGTGCAAGCAGTAGGGAAGGAGGGCGCAGTGACAGAGGGACTGTGCTCACCAGGCAGGGCAGGCCGTGCAGCTCGACAGAATAGCAGAGCGGCGACCGGGCGGCTCGGGTGTACAGCTGCTCAGCTCCCGGGCGGCTCGGCGGCAGGGCGGCTCGGGTGCAGGGCGGCTCGGCTCCCGGGCGGCTCGGCGACGGACGGCTCGGGTGCAGGGCGATTCGGCTCCCGGGCGGCTCGGCGACTGGGCGGCTCGGCTGCCCGGCCGCCCGACTGCTGCAGGTGAGGCGGCGGGGTCGCGTGAGAGAACCGGGGCGGGGCCGCGAAGGGGCCGGCGGTAGGGCCACGTAGGAGCCGGGGCAGGGCCACGTTGGAGCCGGCGGCAGGGCCGGCGGTAGGGCCGGCTTAGGAGCCGGGGCAGGGCCGCGTTGGAGCCGGCGGCAGGGCCGCGTAGGGGTCGGCGTAGGGCCGAGCAGAGGCCGGCGGCAGGGCCGCGTAAGGAGCCGGCGGACAGGGCCGTGAAGGAGCCGGGACGGGGCCGCGTGAGAGCCGGCGCGGGGCCGAGTAGGAGCCGGCGGCAGGGCCGCGTAGGAGCCGGGGCAGGGCCGCGTAGGAGGCCGGCGGCGGGGCCGCGTAAGGGGCCGGCGCGGGGCCGCGTAAGGGGCCGGCGGCGGGGCCGCGTAAGGGGCCGGTGGACAGGGCCGCGTAGGAGCCGGGGCGGGGCCGCAATGGAGCCGGTGGCGGGGCCGCAATGGAGCCGGTGGCGGGGCCGAGTAGGAGCCGGGGACGCCGCGTAGGAGCCGGCGCGGGGCCGCTTAGGAGCCGGCGCGGGGCCGCGTAAGGGCCGCGTAAGGGGCCGGCGCGGGGCCGCGTAAGGAGCAGGCGGCGGGGCCGCGTAAGGGTCAGGGCGGGGCCGCGACAGAGTGGGCGGCGAGGCCGCAGGGGAGAGGGCGACTCGAGGGGTCGCTAAAAAAAAAAACCGCGCCTCGGGGCGCGCTTCGGTGGGCCCAAAAAAAATCGGTCCTGGAGGGACCTAGCTCTATACCATGTGAAACAATGAGAAGAGGAAATGAAATGACTAAGTCAGAAATTGGTACAAATAACCAACCCTAGGAATCTGTACCCCATATGTGCTACCCCACTATAGCCTACAAACATGTATCAGCTATAATGTTCTGACAGTAGTGGCATTATTACTGGCCCGAAATGTTGATCGACGTTCAACGACACGTGGCATCGTATCCTACTTGCTAGATCATGAAATCATCACGGAAGAGGTCGGCAGGACAGTTGCAGCCGATACTACCCTAAGAGCGTGCTTGGCAGGAGGTGACGATGGACTTCGCCACGGGGTTACTGGGCGGAGGAAGTGGAAACGACGCGATCTTGGTCGTCGTCGATCAACTGACAAAAATGGCACACTTCGTAGCCTGCAAGAAATCATTCAGAGCCGAAGAAACAGCCCGCCTCTTCATCTCCACCGTCGTTCGACTACACGGGATACCGGCATCAATCATCAGCGACTGCGACACGAAATTCACCAGCAACTTCTGGCGGAAATTGTGGCAGCAGTTCGACACACGGCTATAGTTCAGTTCTTCGTACCACCCCAAGACCGGCGGACATACAGAAAGGACAAATCAAACCATGGAGAAACTCATCCGAGCCACGTGCGACGATCCAACCACCTGGGAACAACAGCTGCCATTCATCGAGTTCGCGTACAACAACTCGCCTTCTGCCACGACCCAATAGTCACCGTTTTACGTCAACTAGGGACAAGACCTGACATTACCCATGACTCTGAATCCCAACAATCCGGTGCCACGTGCGCAACAATTCGCCGAAATTTTACAAGCATCACGGACGCGGGCAGCAGACGCGATTAAAAAATCAAACATCATCGCTTAACACAACGCCGACCGCCACCGCCGACCTGTCACTTACCAGCCCGACGACCTAGTTTTACTTGACACCCAGAACCTCCGCCTGCCCATTACCCCAAAACTCCGTCCTCGATATTGTAGGCCATTTCGCATTAGCCACATGATTATACCCGTCACCGCCCACCTCCTCCTCCCCGCTGACTGGTACGTCAGCCAGTCTTTCCACGTCAGTCTGCTTCGCCCCTACGTACCATCCATAAGCCAACTGCCCCGCAACCGCCCAACCAGCATGACACGACTGCCGACCGAGCCAATCATCACGCCCGAGAAGATTCTGAGCCACCGAGTTCGTGACCCACGAGGAGCCCGAAGGATCGAATTCCTGATCCGCTGGGAGAGACCGTACACCCACCGAAGACAACTGGGTTCCCCTGGATAGAATCGAAAACCACCCCGTCCTCACCGAGTACCTACGCAGCCAAAATTTCCGGGATGTACACGCACTTTCGTAAGGAGGGCCTCCTTAGGGGGGGGGGGGGGGGGGGGTAGTGTAAGGAAGATTCTCTTTCCTTACTTCGCGTCCCTGCTCAGCGCGTACACCATTGTTCCCGCCAACAGCACCCAACAGTAAACCGTTACCACTCGCGACATTCGCCTCGACACTGTTCCCGCCACTGTTCACGACGCGACCCAACCTCACGGCTCAGTTGGTAACCCGCCACTGCCTCAGCATTTCCCAACCTCGGCGCCACGCCCGTCCCGCACCCCATTTTCAAGTATTACCGTTACCACTGTAGTTTCGCTATATATTATTCGCTCATGCCTTCGCTCATTGTACTCTTGCTTTGATAGTGCGATTCTCGCTCGATCACTCAATTGCACTCGTAACATACATCCACATTTTCCCTTGGAGCATGCCTTACGGTGGAGTTGGGTTGAGGTACTTTCTTTGTCTAAAACCCCATTGGCCCATATTGCCTCTCTGAAGTTTGTTGAAGTGAAGGGAATCGAGCTTAGCATTCCCGTAGGTGCAGCTGTACCGCACCCGTCATTATCGAAGAAATGCTAGCAGCAGTGTCGGATCAGCCCGTATCAAGGCTGTCAGAATGTTATCTTTGTTCTCTAGCCTGCAGTGGGGTACTCTATAGCGAGTACAACCCCTTAGGGTTTCCTATATGTATCCTGTTGCTTGCTAGTGCATCGCCCTCTTTTGCCTAAACTATTCTTGCCTAGCTAGGAAAGACCTAGCTATGGCTCCTACTTCTAACTACCTATTTTCACATGGTTATCAGAGCAGTAAGCTCCTGGCCTGTGGGCCCCACCACACTCCTTCCGCTGCAACTTCTCCCTTTCCGCCGTGCGCCCCGAGGCGCGCGACGGTTTTCTGCCCGCCGTGCGCCCCGAGGCGCGCGGCGGTTCTCTTCCCGCCGTGTGCCCCGAGGCGCGCGGCGGGTTACTGCCCCGTCACGCCGCGCGCCGCTCCCGGGAGGTGCTGTGACGGGCGACGGGGACCTCTGCGCCGCCCCCCGTCGCCCGTCGTGGCCTGGGCGCGGCCCGTACAGCTTGCGCGCGGCACGTACGGGCCGCGCGAGACTCGTCCGCGGCCCGTACGGGCTGCGCCAGGCCCGCGCGCGGCCCGTACGGGCTGCGCCAGGCCCGCGCGCGGCCCGTACGGGCTGCGCCAGGCCCACGCGCGGCTCGGGCCGCCTGCACGCGGTTCGGGCGGCTGTGCCAGGCCCGTGGGCGGCCCTTTCCTCGCTGCCCCTGCCCTCCCTGCTGTCCCCCGTGCTTCTACTGGCGCCCCACCCCTCCTACTCCCCATTCTCCTGCATTAGGGTTTGGGGGTGAGGGGTATGGGGGTGAACCCACTGTGTGCCGTTCCCTGCTCCTCCTCCTCCTCCGTCTCCTTGTGCTGCAGCTGCCGCTGAGGGGGGGTGGAATTGTTGGAGCCGGTGGAGTGGTACTAAGGGGGGGTGAAGGGGGAGTGGAGCTAGGGGTGTAGCAGCGGGTGTGTGTCAGGGGGAGTGGGATAGTTTGGGGAAGCTGAATGGAGGTTGCCGTCGTGTCGCCAGCAGCACCTGTAGTCCGGGGAGTTGCTCCGGTAGCCCAGTCGTAGCCACCTGTGCCAGTCGCCCGTGGGTCCGTTGCTCGTCTGCCGCTACTTTTAGCCGCGGGGCCAGTTACTCCAGTAGTCCGGAGCGCTGTTCCGGTAGCCGCTGTGCCAGTGTGCCTCCTGTTGCCCGTGTGTCTGCAGCTTCAGCCGTCGCCTCCTATCTCCTCTCCTCTCACTGTCCCTCCTCCTCCTCACTTGCCCGTTGTGACTACCACTAGCTTTGCTCATAATTGTGAACTTAAACTATTGCTTCTTGAACTTGTGCTCAGAATGTGTGGTGACATTGTGATCCACCCTGAGCTTGTTCTGTTTTGCTTGCTCTGCTGATTACACCCCACTTTGGCTATGGGGGTGTGTCAGAATGTTATCTTTGTTCTCTAGCCTGCAGTGGGGTACTCTATAGCGAGTACAACCCCTTAGGGTTTCCTATATGTATCCTGTTGCTTGCTAGTGCATCGCCCTCTTTTGCCTAAACTATTCTTGCCTAGATAGGAAAGACCTAGCTATGGCTCCTACTTCTAACTACCTATTTTCACGAAGGCCAGGAAGGTCAATAGTCACAAGAGTCAACAGTCGCGACTGTTGACCATCTGGACCGACGTTTGACTTACCATCGAGGAATGGCAACAGGCGTAACTGTCTGTACGGCTACACGCACCGACTCAGTAACGAAGAAGTGCAATAGTCAGAGTCACTGTAGAATTACCTGTAATGCCGTTATAATAAGGGAATGTACCCTTCAGAGTACATGGCTATATAGGTCTATTTATTATGTGTGTAATCTATGCTTTAATCAACTTTGTCTTTTACATTCACTATGGTCAGGGTTCCTACCACAAGACATCCGCTACCAATTTTCGAAGACATTCCTATTCTATCCAAAAGATTATTACTCTCACATACTATGAGAGCTGGGTTTGGATTATAGGACTCGCTATAAGGCTTCAAAAGCAAGCTTCATTATTACTTATCTCAACATCAAGGGCAACA